GTGACACTTACTGTTACTGGCTCCAGGCTGCTGTGGGGCGAGGGTCCTTTTGGGTTGGGGGGGTGCTGGTGATTTTTTTTTTCTTCAGATGATTTTTTCTTCTTTTGAGGGTCTCATTTTGTGCTAATCTTTTTCTTAAAAATGTTTGCACTGCCTCTTTTGTTTTAATTAATATTTCTTTGTTTTAATTTAATATTTCTTACATTGCCTTAGTCATCTAACTGAAATGAAATCTGAATAGTGGATTTGAGACCTAGCCTAGAAAAAAAGTCTCTCAATACATCTTTCAAGTTTGACAGTATGTTAACATTATAGTTTAATATGTTTTAAGTTTTGAATCTACTGTTTCCAGCCAATTTGAAAGCATCATTGTGTCTATCCCCCTTGCTCTTCTTTCTCCCTAAACTTTGTGTTTATTCCTCTCTTGCTTTTGACATCTGTTCACTGTTAAAGGTCTCCAGCGCATTGATATTCTTGGTATGATGGCATTTGCTTTACTACTAAACAGTAGTTTCATTCTTTCCGTGATCTTTTTGCGCCACTAGTAGGCAGTTTGTTTGCTTGAAGCCTTTTATTTGACCTTTCATTTTATTTGCTGCTTATGTCCAGCTTTATATGTAGCTGATTTTATTTATCACAAGGGTCCATCTATATCATTTGTTGCATACTTTGAAGCAATTTATTTTTCTGATGCAAAAAACCGTAACAGACTTATTAAAAGTTGCATCAAATTTTACTTTCTGATTTTTTTTCTGTGAAAGGAAACTAGTTCTTGATTTCAACAGCTTGACTTTTGTTCTACAGCATTGAGTCCCTTAATTTTCAGAATATCACAGGACACACAGTATAAGGTAATGTCCTTCAGTTTTACTGTTCCATGTCACACAGAAATTAATTGTGCCCTCAGGGTTTTTTTGATAATCATCATATTAGTTCTGAGTATAATAAGAGCAGGACAGTTTTTTGGGGCTGCTGTCAGTTTTTTCTTTTCTAATTTGAAACTCACTAACAAGGCCAGTTTTTTTGAAAAAAAAAATTAAAAACTTTTAAACTGTACTTCAAGCACATCTTTCCATAGAATTAGGTTTGCACCCTGTCTGCTGCAAACAAGTTCATTTTGCGTGGTACATGCTATCATTTGGTTACATGGCAGGGGGAAATTGTGCAAGCAATTTTTTAATGTATCAAGAATTGTCCATACATGCATCCATACATGTAAATAACAATGCACGACTCTGTAAGAGGTATTGCTTTCCATTTTAATCACATGCTCATCATTTTCGGTTTTAACGACACGTTAATATAGGATTATGGCTAAAAGTAGAAAGGATACAAGTAAACATTTATATACATCTTTCAGTGCTTTTCTCTTTTTTAATTTAATAGCCTATATTAGAGTGAAATAACTTTTCTTTTTAACACAGAGGCCCTGAGAAATTGAAATGTACTGACTAGCCTAAAGGACATGAAGAATCCTGTTTTTAATGTAATTCTGAATGAAAGTCCTACCATTATAATCAAAAAGATTATATGGATGTTAATCCAAATGTGCTTTAATGGGGGGGAGGAACCCTCTACCTATAGCTGTGGTATTTACATTCCAAAGAGGTACTCTAATTAATGGAAATCTTAATTTATGTCTCTAAATGCTGTATTAAGAGTGCTAATTTCAGGAACCACTTACTCTTGTTTAAAACTAGAGCATAGTTTATTCTTCTGTGACACCGAGAGACCTCTGTCATTAAATGCTAAGTGTAAACACTTTTGACGTTTTAATCCTAAAAATAGAATCTCATCATTGCCACATGTAGTAGTAACAAGTTAACATAAATTTGGAGGGAAAAGGTATGTTCCAGTGTGTGTGTATGTGTGATTGTAAGTTATTGCTATGGTGTTGCAGATAACATACGTTATACAGGAATCTAGTTAATGTGAATACCGTAGTGAGGAAAGTAGTAGAGCGTGGTAGTAATATATTCAAGTTAACGCATCACTTTGGATTCTTCTCGGTCAGTTCTTCCTCAATACACATGAACTTCTAGCTCTAAAAACTCCAAACAGCAGCCATTTCTAGAAGAAATAAGGACTTGTTTAATTTTCCTGAAATGTTTAGAAAAACACACGCTGCAGTTCAATAGAATTTTCCTGTACTGAAAGATGAAATATTGAATACAATTTATTGGGGATGAGCTATATGGCTTTTGTAAAGGTAGTTAGGCACTACTGATAAGCGACCTCTTTGAAGTCCAAGCCTCACTCACTAAGCATGTGGACCTAAGGCAGTTAGTACAGTCTGCTTGGGTTTCCAAAACACAAGGTCCCTCCCCAAAGGAAAGTTATACTGGTTTGAGAGGGACAGTCTTCTAATTTGTAACTGGTAACAAGAATAAAGCAAAGGAAAGGGATAAATGGTCAGTGGAGAGAAGCCACTGGAGGATGTATGCTATGGTCTGTCCTACTCAATGTAGTTGTAAGAGATCTAAAGAAGGGAGTAAAAAGCGAGGTGACAAAGTTGGTGACAATACTGTGTTACTCTGAAGTAGTAAAGCAAAGGGGTGACTGCATGAAATTGCAGAAGGACCTTGTGATATTGACTGTGTAGGCTGTGAGTGGAAAAGGAAAACTGAGTTTTGGTATCTGTGAAATAATATGCGAGGGGAAAAATGATCATAAATTCACATATAATATGATGGGTTCTCAGCTCATCCTATAGATGAAGTCTTGGAATTATGATCTATGAAAATATCACCTCCAATCTCAGTAATGGTCCAAAATCAAATACAATGGTAGAAACTATAAGATAAGGAATAGAGAACAAAGTAGAAAGCCTCACTGTGTCACTGTATAAATCCATGACTACCAAGTGCACTTCTGGTCCCACCATCTCAAAAAGGTTCAGACAAACATATCAAGGTTGTTCAAAGGTATAAAAGATGATATAATATGTATGTATAGTATGGGAGACACTTAAGTAGACTAAATCTTTTTAGCCTGGAAAAGAGGTGATTGAAGGAGGACCTGGTGGAGACAACTTACTTATTCATCAATCAATGCAGGTTTCTCGACATTCTTTTTCTGTTTCAAATCTATTGTTGGTACCATTACAACCTCCATACCAGAACTGGCCACAAGAATTGCCATTCTTGTCATAATACCATTTCACCACGTAGTCCCGACAATCCCCTGGTTTCATAGGTTCCAAGCACCTTGGATCTGAAAGTATATCAGTAAAAGTTAGCTTGGATTCTGGGGAGAAGTTACGTTATCCTAGAAGTGCTTCCTTCAGCAAGAAGAGCACCCCCTTTTTTTTTTTTCTTTCTTGCAGTGCCTGGGAGTATATATGCCTCTCTCAAATTTGTAGCCAAATTCCATTTCTATTAATGAGTTACCTGAACAGGCCTAAACAAATACAGGATCAGTTTGAAATGAGACTGCCTAAATCCTGATGTAAGAACCAAGCTGCTATTTAAATACCTAAGCACACAATTGGTACGCAAGGGTTGTTTGTCATCTAGGTTTGAAAATCTGGCTCTCACTGTGTGATGTCTGTAGACAGAGCACCCAGAAAAACCAAAGGTGATAAAATCTAGTAACTGTATTGGGGGAGGGAGTGGGGTTTGCTCGTTGTTTTTTTTGGTGCAGACTTGCTACCCAATATTTGAGGACAGTATTTATTACTTACCTTTTTGGGTTGTTGCTACCTGTGTTTGCAACACAGTTAGGTGGTGATCTTCAGTAGCTGTTACGTTGAACAAAGAATTGACAACTGGACTCTGAGACCTGATTTCAGATATGTCATAAAGCAGGGGAAATCTCGATTCTCTGTGAGCAGAGGTAGTCGCAGTGTGATCCTGAGCAGATGGCAGTGGCTCAGTATATCTGGTCCGTGGTGGACTAAGCTGCAAAAGGAGTCAAAATCTTATAACTTAAAATTCCATCTGGGCTCAGATGCTAAGAGAAAAAATCGAGAGAATTATGTAGGAAACTTTTCCTAAATAACGTGTGAGAAAATATCATTAACAACAGGTGGGTTCAGACCTCCTTCTAGTGATTACTCAGTATGTGACCATAATTTTCTGACACTGAGAACTGAATGAAAAGGCAAAGTAATGCCTTCAATTTAGTCACTAAGCTGAATTCATTCCATTGAAGCAAAATTTCAGTCACCACTTAGTCTGTAATATAAATAAAACAAAAAATGGAAGGAACTCTGGGGCAAATCAGCGCTTCTTAACATCTAGTACACTCACTGGGAATGATCTGACATCTTCAATCTGCCAAGAAATGGAAAACGGCAGGCAGGAGGAACAGGATACTTGTTATTGATAGAAAAACACATGTACATTATGCTCCTCCAAAGATCTTTTTGGATGTGGAATCCCTTGATACAGCAAAAATCTCCAAAACTTGTGTTATGGGAATCACATCCCATTAATAAGATTGTCTCATAGATGTGTCCTTGCCTGTATCAAGCCAAGTGACTAATGACCCATTTTCCTGTTTCTAGCTAACAGCCAGTTGCTAATCATTAGAATTTTAGAGTTTACCTTGATAGAAGTGTTAAGAAGCCAACCCTGCTCTTCAAATTAAGACTATTATATAAAAATTTGGCTCTCTAGCGTTTTAGTATATTCAAGAAGATTTGCAAGGATCTTAGTACAGTACAAACGACTGCAGTAATCCCACATGCTGGTTACCTACTGAGAACGGGAAGGAATTTGATACTATTCAATATCTTCCCATTTACAGGCCACTACTGACACACTCAGTCAGTTTAAGAAAACTCTTCAGAGTCATTGGGACTCTGAAAATTGAAGTCTAGGTGAAATGTAAATGTGCAGACAATTTATCCAACCCTTTGCATACTGCATTTCTTCTCCAGGTCTACAAAAAGGCTGTGTTTATTTCTGATAGTAATTCAATAGTTTTGAAGATTTAACTATAACCATGGCTAGCCAGAACCAAGTGTGTGAGCATCTAATCGCTTAGAACTAATCCTACCTGTGATCCTTATCACACGCTTTATAAAGTTAGCATCTATAAATCCAGGTTTACATTTATTTTTCCTAATGATACAGAATGTCAAAATTGACCCGCAGTGTCACACAGATCTGTCTGGAGGTATTACAAGCCCCAAACCTAAATCAGTCACACCTACTGAGGGAGCTCTTATTCAAAGAAATTAAACTGAATATTAGAAGACTGGTGAATGGTGAAATAGAGAGTATTTGAATTCAAATAGACACACATCTTCTAAAAACATTTGATAATTGTTACTTCTTTACTTACTGGGTAACTGATTCCTTCCGTAGGGAGCATATAAATATCTGAAGTAGTCATTTTATGTAACTGGCTATTAGTATCTTCACTAGCAATTTCAGATTCCGGACTTGGAGATGGAGATAAAACATTATCATTTCTGGTGTAGACTTCAGACACATTCTCACAGATTTTTGTGATCAGTTTATTTTCAAGAGCTGAAATGATTAACAAAATTATGAAATTTATTAAGGGTAATCAAGAAAAGTCGTAATGATTCACCACAAGCTTTTAGTGCAGTATTAACCCTAAATCTTCAATGATAGTGACTTGTGAAAGACCATCATCTAAAGTTATGTCAAAATGCAAATAAGAAGTAATAAAGTAATGCACTCTCTGAATTATTTGATTTTAAGGCCCTTTTTTTCTTTTAAGAAGGAACAGATAAAAATACCAAGACCCTTTTTTAAGCAAGAGTCATAGCTCAACAGTGAAGAAAAAAAAAACCAGAGTGAAGGAAAGAAAGTGTTTACGTGTAAGAAGGAAAAAGAAAAACTGGGCAACACATTCTACTTATTTGCACAAAAAAATTCAGTGACTGGGAATACTTTTAAGTTGAATGCTGGAGCCTGAGTCAGAGGCCTAAGTTTAATCCCAGCTGGGACCAGAACCTTAGCTTGGACTCTCTTCTCACTGTTAACGCCTTAAATCCAGACTTAACTCCATCCACAGGGTCAGCGTAGCAAAATAAGTTCATGCTCAGGAAAAATATACTTTATAAGGCTAGTCTGCAGTTAGTCTAGATCAATATATTTTTTTCTTCATGGGTCATTATTGGTTTCCTCCGGATTTTCTCCTGATTCCATCTGTTGCCACAGGATTTTTTCAAGCCACAGTTTGAAATATACAATGTGCTATCAGCCCCCATTCCCTTGTGTGTTGCTCCACCACTTTTCCCCTAGAATCAGGATGAAAGCATAGGTTTCCCTATGGCTTTCAGAAAAAAACCCAAAAGAGTGCTTGTAAGAGCACTTGGAGGGACTCCAAGACTGACAAGAGCCATATGAAATATATAGAGAGAAAGAGACAGAGATGTTGTGTCAAGGTGGAAGGAAATCTGCACCTCTCTGGGATGAAACCATGCCCAAGCACAAAAGGACTGCGAGGGAAGGCTGATGCAAGCTCTCACAAAAGAGGAGTGCCCCAAAGAAGGCCTCGGCTCAGCAAACTGATGTTCATTGTTTTTTATTGTTTCTGCAAGAGGTAACAATTCGGCAAAGGTTTCATTTGGCCAAAGAAGAAGAGAAACAGAAGAAAGAGCTGCATCCAAAAGAGAAACAGAAGCTTCCCTTCAGCAGGCTGCCTTGCCTTGCTATGGGAAAGGCCAAACTCTCTTATATGCTTATTTCAAGTTTCCTCTTACTAAAATAGTTTCTTTTACCTGAAAGCGTCATGAAGTCATCTATCTGGTAAACATGTTCTTCATCAGGGTCTGTTGCAATGAGCTGCATTTCTTTCAGAAAATCATCATAATGAGGATCAGTCCTTTGAATGATCCCAATGACAAATATCTCAATGTTCGTAGCATGGGCCTCTCTTACTACAGTATCCAGCTGTACTTTATCACGAGTGTCTGCTTGTCCATCTGTTATTACAACAGCCACTTTTCTTACTGCTGGGCGTGCTGCCTGAAATAACTGAATGGCTTCTTGGATAGCAGAAGCTGTGTACGTGCCTTCTCCTAAGTAGGGCATTTTATCAACAGCTGATTTCAGGTATTCTTTGGTTGTGTATTGCTTCAGAGAAGACACCAACTCCACTTTATGGCTGAAGTTGATAATGCCAATGCGGGTTGTAACATGGTTGGCCGATACCTTGTCAATGACTGTTTTCATAAAAGTTTTGATAATATTGAAGTTATCTGGTCCAACACTTTCTGAACTGTCAATGACAAATACTAGTTCCAGTGGTGTTACTTTACATCTGATACCACAACCTAGAAAAATAACCATTTCAGACATTTTATGAGAAACCACCTTCATAAAAACAAATTGAACTCATATATCAGATTTACAGTCAGTTAAAGCTCAATTAATGAATTAATTTATAGTTACTGATAAATAGAAACAGAGCTGGACCAAATTACTTCCAGTATAGCTCTGGCAACACAGCGAGCATCGTTTTCACGTCAGTGGTATCCTTACACACAAACATGCAGAGGACAAATCCATTCAGTCAATATAAATTCAGTGTGTTTTATTAGAACTATTTTTTTTCCGTACTGGAATGCTTACCACATATTTCATTGATAAGTCTGATAACTTCTTCTCTCTGAAAGAGAGAAGAATTAATTTGCTGCGTGTTCTAGTTTTAAGTATGCTGAAATATATGTATTTATTTATTTATTTACAAAAATGCAGGGAATGCAATGCCCCATAAACAACCTTGTGTAACATCACATAGCCTTTAACTGTTTTCCCAAAATAAACTCCTACCCTTTAAATTAATTCATGTACATACTTACCGAAAGACCAGGTTCACCTTTTCTTCCCCAAATTCCCTGAAAACATGTAGGGTGAGATAAGTAACAAAAGCCAAATTTGTCAATTTGGCAAAAACAGAAAAGCCAATTTCTGTTGTGCAAAATTAAATAATACGAAAATGCGTTTTACCTTTGGTCCTGGAGGTCCTGGGTCTCCAATCTCTCCTTTGGCACCTTTGCTCCCTGGATCACCTTTATCTCCATAGTCTCCCTAGTTTAAAACAACCGTATTAAACACAGTCAGTAACTCCAGTTTTGTTGATAGTCAGAGCTGGGTTATGGTTCAATGAGCTTTTAAGATACATTTTCTAATGGTTTTTTTTTGTGTGTGGCTGGTTTATCTTGTATGTATTATGAAAAGAACATCTGAAAACAGGCTCTCAGAGAAAGCAAGATGGGCAGTAAAAACATCTTTAAGAAATTTATATGAAAAATTACCTTAATTCAGGAGTGAGGGGTAAAGACATCTTTATGCAAATGTCCAGAATATATAATTTTTCACTGTTCTTTGATTTTCTTGAACTCTAAAACAATGTTTATACTGGACCTATGTTAATTCAGACCTATGGAGAGACATAACTGCCTCAGATCAGCCAATGTACTGAAACTCACACCAGCTTTGTATAGAACCCACATGAAAAACTGGGAGCTTGCAAAGAACAGAGGAAAAGGCATGCTTGGACTGTTACATCCATTGGAAAATATGTAGTTTCACATTTAGAAGCAATTCTGCACTTTTTTCCTCAAGTGACTAGACCTTTTGATTTCCAAAAAGAGAAAGGGTTCAACATTACAGTATTTCAAGAGACAGTTTTCACATAACGCAGATATGAAACACTATCAAAAGATTCAGGTTCTAAATTAGACATTTCTTCAAGAAGGAGATTATGCAGGACAGTTTTTTACTTCTCTCTGGAAGCTACTGAACAGCTTACATTTCACATGAAACTTCAGAGCTTAGAAATTTATATAGATTACCGCCCATTTTGACGTTATTCCTCATTATTACCCAGCCAATGGAATCACATAGACACCTCCTGTGTTACAGCGTTCACCGTGGTGATTCCTATCAATTTTAAGGAACCCTTTTGGCTCTCTCAGTCTGATTCTGATCTTATTTAAACTGGTATAAACCTGAAAGCTGTACATAGCTTCTCCACAGCGTTAAGAAAACCAGTCTCCACTAAGTAAGCTCTTGGAAGACAGTTTCTATTCTATTTCACAAAATCATAACATCCAGCAAAGGATATTACTTCCTATTACCTGTCCATGAGTTGAATCTAACCTCATCAAAGTTAATGTCAGCATAAGGGAGAGCAAATATGATCTACTGACTGCGGTGGTGCTGCTACTCTCTTACACATAAATATACTAAAACCTGATCTCTCTGGTATTTGGCACTTATATGAAATTCCTACTGAACTAAACCACTCCTTTCCATGTGTGACAAGTCTGCTGTATTAGTAGCAAACAGAAAAATTGTATTTGGAAAGATTTACACTGGGTCATGAAGATTAGTCAAGATACAAGATGAATATGAAGAACAGTGAAAATATTGCAATTATTATTATAGTATGTAGTATTTGGCATCTGAGAGAAAACAGAATTAGGAGGCAGAAATTTGAAGCTGTGTGAAAGAGCTTGATAGTCACTGTTGCATAAAAGCTCCAAGCTGTAGTAGCTTGAATAATACAAAAGTCTGAGAAAATAAGCTAGTGTAGACCATGAACATCATTAGTGCAGGCAACAAATGGCTGGGGCTTTGAATGGGTACTGCCTGCCTCGTGACTACAGAGGGGATTGAACTCTTATTTGGGTAACTTCTTAAAGTTAGAGAGCCTGATCATCTCTGCTCTCCCATGAAGACTGCCATGGATTTTTTTCTCAGGCTTTCCAGACAGAGCCTTCACAATAAATTCAATATTTCAGCTATGTTGTAATTATTGTGGAGGGACTGCCCAGCTGGCCCAGGCATATGCTGTGAATTAAAGGTGGTGTACTGTATCGTGCGTTTACATCAACGCTCATTCCGCCTGGGCACACTGTTCTCTCTTGTGTATGCACACAGTTGGTCTGCACATCCACATTGACCATGAGCCTTGGTTTCCTTTGGCTAGGCTGCTCCCATCAGAAGCTGCACATCTGAAAATCACTAATAAATAGCCAAAGTATTTAAATTCTCTTTGCGCAAAATTTGTTAGATGGGAATAGGTATGTGTAGGAAATTCTTACAATTTTTATGTCAACCAGGAAGCTATTCAGTAAGGAAAGATTCAAGCTTGGGCTTCAATCATTGTAAAAAAAAAAGAGTCAAAACAAAGCCCTTAAAAGACATTAGTCAAAAAGCAATTCTTTTTTTGTCAAAGCCTGGCAAATAAAAGAACGTTTTGTAATACCTGAAAAATATCAAAGATAATTGAATACCTAATTTGACCAATATTATTCTCCTGCTAACAGGTACGACCTCATTCTAGATCCTACTTCAGAGCCTGGTCCTTAATGACAATTAGGATTTTCACAGACAATGGGTAAGTATGCACTTACCTTGCTAGCTATACAAGACAATGTCTTTGCCTTCTATTTATCTTCAAAGACCTGTCACACCAAATGACCAATAAAGGAAGAAAAAAATTACCTTTTTTTCCTTACCGCAAAACCTAGGATTTACCTTTGGTCCAGGAAGGCCAATTCCTGTTGATCCCTTTAGTCCAGGAAAACCTTGATTTCCTTTTTCTCCCTGAACAGAAAGTAAGTTTAACTGAAAATTAAAGTTAGATCTATGTCATATCTATTCACTTTATAACATTCTGCATCATAGAGAAAGCCAGATATATATATTATGCAATGAAGCACATAATTTTCAAGATAGAAGTGGTCTGAAGCTGGAGAAATAAACTGGGTATGATTCAGAACACACATGAAGCCTTTATAAAGCATATAATGAAGAATTTATTCCCGATTAATTAAATGAAATATTATCATTTCACTGAAACAGATGAAAGACAAAAGTAACCTCACTGAGGCTCAGACAGTTACTCATCCAGTCTACAAGCAGTAAAACGAGGTCCAACACAAAGGTCCTCTAGAAATACACACCCAGAATCTCTGCAGGGTTGACTTAGTTTTTCTGATCTTAAGTAAATAAAAAGACATGTCTGCTTTTCACAATGTGGAGAGCAGAACATCTTTCTGCTGATACTTCAAAAGACAGTATCAGTCCAGCTACAAAGTTCAAATTTGTTTATAATGATTGTTACACATGCCCTGCTGCATGCACACAGACTTGAAAAGCATGTTCATGCTAGCAGTGTGGGCATACATGTTAAAAAACACAGCTGTTATAAAATACATACAGAAAATCCTTCCCAGCATCTGGCTTCCAGAAACTTTCCTGCTTTATTTAATAGAGTAACACAAATATTTTTTTCAGATCAACTGCTGCATACATTTTAAACACAGCTAAAGATGATGATATTCCCTGGCACATAAATGCACATTACATACATAATTCACATAACAGCAGTGCCCGCTGCAGATACTAAAACCAGCTCCAGAGAATGTCAATGAGATCAGGAGCAGTCATCACCTGTACCAAACCCAGCCTACGAGATGCAAGTACAAGGTTAGTTTTATTTTTCAGTCAAGAGCTCTCAGACTGTCTCGCTAAAGCATCTTTTACTAATACTTGTATAGCTGCTCACAAATGGGCCTAAAGGGGTTATATTGCTCATAATGGGCAGAGAAATACAAAAATGTTTCCAAATTTATCAAGACTCCAGCCTTCACCAAAGGCACACTAGTGCAGAAGGACTTTTTCCTGCTGTGCTGGGTAGGGGCTTATGGATTTCTGCAGGTGGAGAAGCAGCTGCACAGTGCACAGCCAAGTCAACCTTCTCTTCCTTGTACTCCAGGCTCCTGACTCCCATGAGTTGGGAGTTCACTGGGAGTTAGACAATGAGATGCAGGTCCTAGAAGAGGCAGTATACTACGAGTCACGGTCCATGGATGGTTTTCCCTGTCCAAATTCCAGATCTCAGTCCTGCTGAGATGGGAGCTTCTGCTTGCACACGGGTACATTGTGGTCTTGCCCCGTTCTAGGCAAACGCACCCACTGCACTCCACCGTTCACATCTCCACTGGAGTACTGCCTTTACAGCCCTGCCCTGCGGGAGCCTCTTGGTCTGCTAGCCCTAACTTGGGGAGCTAAAATTCTCTGCTCGTCATCGGGGCTACCTATCGCTGACCTGCTAACTGGCAGCCTCTTGCCTCTGTAAGCAGAACTTCTCCCCTTCCCCTTGCCCCAATTTCTTACAGCAGCAAAAATTCAGACACTGTTATGTAGACTCTGGAGACTGGAAAATAAACTATGATACACCAAATTACATAGCTGATTCACTAGGGGGAAAAAAAAAAAAGAATTTCCTGCAAATAGGAAATATTCCTAAGTCAGTGCGATGCACAGGGCAATTTATTTTGCACGGTTGTAGGTACGCACAGTGACTATTTAATCTAATTTACTTTAAGTCACTTTTTAGCAGGATTGTGCTTCCTCGGTCATTCATGTAGGTTATTAATGCAAATGGCTTTTAAACATAGTGAAACAGTGTGCCAGCTTGTTTCAATGCTTGCTGTCCAGCACTGGGACTGACTATCCTTCCTGACTAGGGTCATCACACAGCTTCCTGATTAACACCTTGGCAGATCTGCAGAGCACATACATATGAACCAGAATTAGGATATTCTGTGTATTCCAGCAGTCCTTCACTAATAATAAATGTCAGATCTGACAAAACTATAGATTTATTGCTGCCATTTGTTACAGCCCATTTGACATTGTTAGGATGGCATTCAGGCAATGAAAACTGAATGAGACATACTGTTCTAAAAAAATTCATACCTGTACTGCTGACATTTCTCACAGGCACACATGTGAGTTTTATCCTTTAAAATGTCAACTGCAGAAACAAATCCTGCTTCCTCTACTTGTGCCATCAATCAAGATGATGATTTGTCATACATACCATAACTGAACATTTAGTAAAAACCAAGAAGTATGCTGGATTAATTTAAAAATATTTATTGCTTTGCCAGTTCAATCCACGTACATAATTAAATTCAAACTTGACAATCAGTCTTATCATAAAAACCAAAGTGGTATGCATGTAAAAATGCAGACCCTTGGATCCCTGACCCTAATATCCTGCTAGATTACTGATCAATAAGCAGACTTCTATGTAAAAATGTCATTCTATGAACTGAGTGCAGATCTGAGAATGTCTAGACTGTGGTTTTGAAAGGAAACCAAGCATAAAAAAGAAGACCTGTGAAAGTAGCTATCAACATAAAGTTACTCGAAAACCATCTCATTTTTGACATTCTGTTCTTACCATATGCAGACCAAGCTCTATGTATATATGAAAAAAAATACTTGGAGTGATAATGATAGTTCAAATGCAGGAGCATAGTAGCTTTAAGCTGATGAAGAGTGGCCAAAAAGAATGAAGCTTGGCATGGTTGTGAAGAGACGGACAGAAGAGAAACAAGCATCAGCGTATGGAGGAAACAGGTACTACAGGAGCAAGACAGTTGCCAAAGTTGTTCAGAAAGAAGATGTTCCTCAGAATTAAATAAAAATAATCATAATGAGAAAAAGTGATTGTTAAGGGCAGAAAATTTAAATGACAAGACTGTACCTACACAACTCGTGGAATGCAATAGAAACACCACCAGCTGAGTTTGATCCACCGTATCATTACAGTTTTGGTCTCAAACCGAAAGACACAGACCTTCCATAGCCAGAGCACGTTACTTTCCTACATCCCTAAATTCCACATCCTTACATTACAAACATGCCTTTCTCTGACTGTGTGTCAGTGGACCGTGTTCCACCACTGGAAAACTTCCATGATGAAACTGAGGTCTCTGCACTTCTAAAATATGCTTTAGATATTTATTCATAGCAGTGCCAACATAACATCCAAAACTCTGTGTGTATCTATATAGAGATAGGGAGACAGACAGATGTATATGTACACACTGAGCATATTTTGACTAACCTTTATCTTTTTTCAGGAACAGAAAAAATATTATATAATCTGTATATTTTTTCATGTATAATCAGATGCATTTGATTGCTGAAACATTTCTGTTCAGAATGGCAATTGTGCTTTTATAAATAACCTCACATACCCGTAGAATTAACAAAGATATATCCCAAGCATTAGATTCTGGAAACACATCAGAAATGTCTATTAAAGCCAGGCAGGAAATAGTTTTCCTATACTATAAAGCCATATGGAGATGGCAGAAATTTTTCTGTTTTCCACAAGAATAGAGCAAAGGGCCTTCAGAGATTCAGCAAACAAAGGAAGAAGAGAAAAGAAAGTAAGAAGTTCCTTATGCCCTCACATTAAAATACGTAATAGCTTTGTGGTTACTGATAACAATTAATATAGAAGAAAACTGCAAAGAGGTCAGAACCAAAGGTCTAGACAGTCATAACTCTCTCTGTAGAGATCTCTGTCTAGGAAAGTCCTGAGACAAGATAAATCAGAATCTGTTAAAGAGACTTATACAATAAGGAGAAAAGAAAGAACACAGTAAAGTATGTTTTTATGCTATGAAACACCTCACACTGAAAAAAGGAAGGGCTCTCTGCAGTATAAAAAGGGAAATGATTGAACAAGAATATAAAAATAGAAGACACTGAAGCTGGAATCAGAGCAAGTACTGAACAAAAATTCAGAAGGAATCAGTGCTTTTCTGGTAAAGCTTGTATGAAGTAATTCCACGCTGAACCGAAGAAAGGTTTTTGAAACATTTTGCCAACAAGGTACATTTTAATGATTTTTTTTTGTTTGTTTCAGCATGTCACTACTTTCCAACGAAAACCTATTTTGTCAGTGAATTCCCTGGTGGTTTTAGTATCTACAGCCAACCGCAGTATAGAGAGGCATCTTTCCTAACCCAACTAAAACAGTGCCTCTCTTACTGAATGGTGGTGGTTTGATAGTCTAGAGTTGGAGAGCTGAGCACAATCCTCCTGATCCAGGGAAATATTCAATCATATGCTCAACTTTAAGCACACTGATTTCAGAGAAATAGGAGAAACTTGGGTTGTTCTCCACTAGAGCCTCCAGTTTTAATAATTTTCTTCCACACATTTATGACAAGGCAATTTATTAACTTTGAATGTTCAGAATATGTTACCATGTTTGTGTTTCTCCTTACAAGGAGAGAAGTTGTGGTTATGGCTGGAACTGGGTGAGTAAAAACCTGTTGAGTATGTGGGAGACCGGCTAATTTCTTTTGTATTCCTATATGTGTTGTTTAACTTATTTTGTCATGGTAGATCTCTGTTACTGTCTTTTACAAGGGCATCCAGAGAAAACCCTGGATGTTTTCTTTGGAGTGTCCTTTAAATCTAAATAATCAGTAAGGTGTGGCAGAGATGAGACTTTTTTTCCGGATTAAATATATTTATAATGACAAGAATAATACGAGAGCAATCGGGTGCCACCAATACTGAAAACTCAACAGCTAAAGCAAATATTACATGCCTTATGAACAAGAAACTTAAATACACAATGAGTATTTGCAGGAGTTCACTGACTCAGTGGCAAAGAGAAAAACAGACAATGAATCTCCTTAAGATACAGTTTTGAGAAGAAACTGGACAGATATCACATTAAACTGGATTACCTTGCTTCCTTGTATGCTGTCGCCAGGGGGGCCAGGTGGACCAGGCAAGCCTTTCTGTCCCATAATACCCTATAACAGTCAGTGGGGCAAAAAAAGAAGAATTAGGAGGTAAACTCTATTCCTGGTAACACTAAGGAAGTCATCTCAAAGTCACTGCAAGCAAAAAGTAAAACCATGTCAAAGACTCTAGTTCTGATTCTTCTTTGGTTTATGGTTTCTCGCTGTGAGCCTTAGTAATTATCCTTGGCAAATTCCCAGGAAAGCAAAGGAACAATTAAGCTGAAAATAATTAAAGAATAAAACTTCCCTCTGACACAGTGTGATATTTTCCCCAGTGTTTCCCACATAGAAACCAACAGAAACCATCTTTATACAACAGCTTCATGCAATCACTCCACACAAGGGAGGCACAACAGTAGAGGCACAAAGGACCAGAGCAATAAAACCCAGCACGAGTAAACCTGCCCGGCATATTAGCTAGTTCTTGTGCATCATGTATATATGCCAAGCCCCTGTGATGCCACAGTCTCCAGGAGCACTAGTCAT